TATATATTTAATACTTTATATAGTCGGAAACGCTTTTTTTTACCTGTTACATACTTTTCATCAAAATTTATACTTTATAGGGTAAATCTTACTCTATGAGTAAAGAGTATGACTATACTACATATAAGTACAATACGAACGGGTTTTCGCAATCTTTTTAAGTAGTATGTCAGCCCACAAATAAATAAAATTTTAATAAATTAAATTTAATTTAAAAATTTTATTTTGTGAAAACCTTGGATTGGCCGATATCCGCTCAGGATTAGTAAACAAATTAAAGGCGCACACGTGGCAGCTGTGGTAAGCCTTCACAATTTATAAGGCTTTACAGGTTCCGGCTGCATTTCTGCATTGCAATGAAACAAGGTCTAACAGTTGGGTGGGAGTAGTCTCATGAAAGGGTTTTAGCCCTTGTACCCCATTCATAAAACTGAGAATTTGTATGTAATGTTCATAGTCGAATTGTAATTACTACACTCGAATACAGTAACCAAATCTAGTTGTTGTCTAAAGAAAGTGGGAACTGCAACTAACTCCTGGTTAATTAAAACAAGGCTTGTATTTCATTTAATGTATATAAAGGGTGTTCATTAACTTTAATTAAAGCCGTTTAAATGCATATTTAGACTTATTCTAGGTATATAAAACCTAAAAAATTTTTTATTTCTTTACTTGTGGAGTAAAAGCGTTCTATATGTTTTTATGCCCGTTACTCTAAAACTAAAATGGTGTACTGTATGTGTCTGTATGTCCGCCCGATGTCCGTTTGTTTGTGCTGAGATCTCAAAAACTGTAAAAGATTCTTAAGCGCAATACCAATCTAACTCTCTAACTCTAAACTAAAATCAAGCACGCATAATGTTGAAATGGCAGCACATCTTATGGTGGTACCATTATCCGGCCATCACCAATCTTCCGCCCACCTAGCTCGAAAGACGGTTTTCGCTTTTTAAAAATGCTGAGATCTAAGTAACTATAAGTGGTATAAAGTTGGGATTAAGCATGTATGGGGTGGCCCACGAAAGATTTGCGTTTCAAATTTACCGCACAAAAGATCAATTGTCACGTTGGCTGTATGCCACGTAGCGCCGTCCTGTTGGAACCATATGTCGTCTATGTCTTCCTCTTCCATTCGGGGAAAGAAAAAGACTTCCAACATGCCGCGATAGCGGACACCATTAGCGGTTACGGCCGCTCTTTCCTCGTTTAAAAAAAAACGGGCCAATGATGCCACTCGACCACATACCGCACCAAATAGTCACTCGTTGTGGATGGATTGGCTTCCCCAAATGCGATAGTTCTGTCAGAGATAGGAAGTTTGGTATTAAGCTGATTCATCATCCGGCCACCCCCATTCTGACGTCCACCAACTTCGAAACATTCTTGAACTTTTCTCTATGATCTCTGAGATCTCGCAAACTATATTAGCTAGATAAAGATGTTTAGAGATTTCACCTCATCTTAAGGTTCTTTCATCGCCCGGCAAAGCCGCAAAAACATTTTTTAAAATATATGTAGTTGTTGAATAGAATGTGCCCAAAAAAAAGTGCAAATCATTAGCAGTAGAAATAACATTTGGATATTAGTGACATAATTTTTTTTTCATAAGTTTCACAAACGATTATTACGCGAAAAGATTCCAGAAATGATAAAAAATAATTCTTGCAAGAAATTTTACAGAATGAAAATTCACACGTTATCTAATATAACATTTATACTCAGAACATTTATATAGATAACATACGCTTTTTGACTTTCAGAATTTCAGACAGGGATCCTATGCAATGAAACCAAGATCACAAAATCGTGTACAATTTTCTGTCTATTTAACTTTTGTGGATGTGGGACCAGCTACCGGCTCTCACATAAAGAAACAAAGGAACTGTTTTGTTTTGAAATACGTAGCACAGCGTCAGCATTGCGCTTAATATGTGGAAGCACCAGCGCTTCCTCATTTGCCCTCAGCACTAGTATAGTTTTCAGAGTTTTTACTTTGTGCTGCTGCAGTAGCTTTGTGTGTGTTGTTGAAGGGGAGGTCAAGTGAAGAACTGTGTGGGGTGGTTTTTGGGGTGGTTGTGTCCTACAAAGCACTGTTTTGAGGCAAAAAGACCAACAAAAACTATTGCGTTGGAGCCGACACTGTTATCTCGGGGGCTTCATTCACTGCGGTGGGTGTAAAATGAAACCACAGTTCATATCAAAGTCCAATATACCTTTTTCATTTGCCGAGTAAGTGTGCTTAATGTCCGGAAACTCTTTCTTGTAAATGTTTTTTCAATGCAAAGTAAAAAAAAATGTATTTTTAATTTTGAAAAATAAAAGTTTTTTGACTTGCAGTATCTATTGGCCGGAGAATTGTAAAATAAAAGGATTTAATGGCAATCACTGGCTGGTGTATTTTGTTAGAATAGAAGAGTACACATGGACTTCGATGGACTGCCACTTCGAGGTAAAAATATTGGCTTTTTATAAGATTCGTGATCTTTAGTGGCACTTTAAATCTAGATTTAAAGCGTTTGACTGCAAGTGAGATTAGGGTAGGTCAAGGCAGGTTCTCACCTTATGGACCCGAAGAAGTGCCTTACTTTAATTTTTTTGAAAAAACGGTTAGAAATAAAGTTCTGAAAATTTTTTCTGAATATTTTTTTTAGAATGTAATATATAAAAGAAGGGTGCGAAGAGCCCAAATTAATGGCGGCATATCGGCGAAAAAGTGTCCGGAATTGTTCGAACCGGAATCCGTGATCTGAATTCTAACAAGAGGAATCGCTATAGTCGAGTGCCGCGACTATAAGATACCCGTTACTGTTTTACACAATTTTATTCATTTTACTTGTGGAAATTTCCAAAGCGCCACCTTTTGTCGGATTAAACATGTAGGTTTTTATGATGCCCCCAACGCGAGTTGTTTTTTTTAGATCAAGCCACGCCTACTCTAACGCCCACAAAACCCGAAAAGCCCGAAAAACCAAAATGGAGTTTCTATCACTTATAGTTACCGAGATATCAGCTTTTCTAGAAAATGCGAAACACGTCTTTTGAGCTGGATGGGCGTAAGAGTGGGTGTGGCCGGAAAACCACCATAAGATGCGCTGGCATCTAAGGATTATACATACTAAATTTCAACTTTCTAGCTTTAAGAGTTCCTGAGATTTCAGCGAATGTAGTTTTTAGCGATTTCTAGGCGTTAGAGTGGGCCAGGCAGGATGCTGAAAAAAATTTGCGCTGTGATGGACCTCAAGAATCTTCATGCTTAATCTTTACTTTGTATCTCTTACAGTTCCTGTAATCTCAGCATTCTTACGGACAAACGGACGCACTGACGGACATGGCTCAATCGACTTCGCTATTGATACTGATCACGAATATATATACTTTATAGGGTCTGAAGCGCTTCCTTCTACCTGTTACATACTTTTCAACGAATCTAATATACCCTTTTACTCTACCAGTAACGGGTATAAAAACCAAACACACATTGTATAGTATTATCTATTAAATGAACTAGGATCTTAAAAAAAATTAACATTTAAAAACATATGGGGTTTTGAAATAATTATTTTTTAGAATAAACCCTAAGGAACTTTACAAAACAAGACGAAACGCTATAGTCGAGTGACTATAAGATACCAATTACTCTTTAAAATATTCATTTTGCTAGTGGAAACTCACAAAGCGCTACCTATTGTTAGAGAAAGCAAGTTGAGTAATTGATATTGACGTCACTGCCAATGTGAGGCCTTATAAGGCCTTATTTCGGTTTGCATGGTTTTGTGGGCGTTAGGGTGGGCGTGGCTAGATGGGAAAAATAAATCGCATCATAAAAACCTACATGGTAAATCCGAACTTTCTTTCACTTAATGTTACTGTGATATCATCTTTTCTACAAAATGCGAAAACCGATCTTTCGAGCTCGGTGGCCGGATATTAGTTTTTCTTGATTTGTGGATGTTAGAGTGGGCGTGGCAGGATGCTAAACTAAACTTGCGATGAGTAGGGACCTCAAGAATCTTCATGCTTAATCTCAACTCTGTTTCTCTTATAGTTGCTGAGATCTCAGCGTTCATACGGACAAACGGACATGGCTTAATTGACTTTACTATTGATCCTGATATAATATACATCATAGGGTCGGAAACGCTTCCTTCTACCCGTTAAATACTTTTCAACGAATCTAGTATACTCTTTTATTCTTCGAGTAACGGGAATAAATATGATAGTATGTTGTTCCTAATTCTCTTTTCTTGACAAAGGAAGTTTGCTTTTTTTAGACATAAACAAATAACTTACTAGATTCTAAATTATTTGATGATTATAAAGGGGGACAAACGCTCAACATGTGCCTACACCCCCATGTTTTTACAAAAGCTCTCCTACAGCAACAATAGAAGAAACAAGACAAATTCGTTCTGCCAAAGATTGAAGTTATAAATGTAAAATAGGCAAATGCGCACAAATATTGCAAATAAATAGGTCCTCGTAGATCATTTTGCCTTTAACAACAATAGTGGGAGCAACAGCAACAGTATAACGAATAATATTTCAGAAACAGCAGCGACGAGCGAAGACTTTTCTAGGTCTGAATGCGACTTTTGGAGTTAAAATTCCTGGCCCGGAGCCCAATCCAGATTCCAGTCAGAGTATTCATTCAAAGGGCTTCAGCCTCTTAGCTCCTGTTCATCTTAGCTGCCTCTGCATGTTTGTGTAAGGGTGTCGTCTTAGAGAGAGCGAGAGCGGCGACAGAAAACCACGCCCTCTCTGGCCTCTACCTGTAGGATAGAGCGAGAGTGACCTACTGACGCTAAGAGCGCCGCCATTTGCCATTGTAATAAAGTTGCCCAGCCAGCGTGTGTGCAAGCAGACAAACAATACGCTCACGATTCCACACTTTCGCACTCACTTACTCCAACGGGACCGGAGTAAGCATACAAACACACGACTGTTAATTTTTCTGCTTCTGGGCCAAGCAATGCTTTTGAGCATTCCCAGTTTCTCAGCTGCGCCGACTGGTTGTAGTTGTGCCTCTGAGAAAATCAGTTGCGGACTGTAATCGGGCAACGAATGGGAGTCGGTCTCTATTTCGACGGCCTACGCGGGCGAAAGAACAAAGTTAAAATAATTGTCGTGGAACGTGTTATGTGTTTGATTTGAAATTCTATGTAGCGTCAGTTGTCGATGTTAATCAATCTCCAAACAATATATTGAATCGCGGATCGCCTAGCTACATAATACAACGTAGTGGATGTAGAAAAATGGCATTGGCCTCTAATGCTTTATCCATACCAATCATCGTCGGCTCCCATAGACAGACCGCGATAAAGGTTGACCACTCCCAGACAATTTGGATTTGATTTTCATTTCTGTCGCCGTGTAGTAATGACTAAACTAAATATTTTTTCTTTTCGCTGACCCTTGTTGTATTGCATGTGCGGTTAGGGTTGGACTTAGACATCCTACATAACCTGAATCAAATTTGTTAGTGAGTTTGTGCTCGTGAGTTACACTAAGTTCCTTAAATTAGCTTGTTGCTAAGATAAATAAGTAAGCGTAATATTAAGAAAAGGCGTATCAATGATACCAACCTTTTAATACGGAAAAGTTATACACTGAAATAATATCGCCAATCATAAACAGAAATGCGCCAAGTGCGTCAAGTGTCTTTTAACATATCAACGTAGTATCAACGTAGAGTCCCAGCCATTTCAAGGAGGCGCCTAACTAACACAGGGCAAGTCCTTAAAACGGCAAACATACCACGCTCGACGGACACCATCCTTGGAAATAGACCTAGTGTCATTTCAAAAGACGCACATGGGCGTCTGCACCGAGGAGCGCCCTGTGATGCATTGGGTAAGTTTCACGGCTTGACTACGTTTTCCAATTAATCTCGATCTCGATCCCCTCACAGCTCATAAGAACCACGCCTTCTTTAATAACCAGATGGTAGAAATTTTATTTTGGAATTTTTTAGCATTTTGAAAATATTTTAATACATAATAAAATAATAAAATAATAATTTTAATACATAAAAAATATGTATATATTTTAATAATATGATCTTTTATTCTCAACAAGAAGCGCTAGGAGTCTAATAAATATATGATAAACTAAATAAAGACGCTACTTAAACAGACAAAATACCAAATTAATAACAGTTTCAGACTTTTTAAGGTAACCCACAAGTCTGATATCAAAACATTAAGGTCATTAAAATATTTCTTTCAGTTTTCACGAACTTTCTTAATAGGTGTTATACCGGAAAACTTGTAGATTTATTGATAGAGTTGTGGGTTTATATTTTCGTCACTTGAATATTGTGGAAATTCATCTGCCTATGCTGGCTGTATGCATAGTGAATTAGTAGAAATAATTTAAATATATTTGACTCTGTTTATCCTTCTAAAGAAATTTCGTCCCTAAGTACACCACTTTTTTTAATACACATAAAGAAATCATTAAAAAGTAATAAGATAATCTACATAACTATTATTCATTCGTTGAAAAGTATATTAGACGTACAAGTAATCGCTGCATATTATGTTACATATATTATTCATAAGGAGCAAAAGCCGATAAAACAGAAACGGATTTCTCATAGTCGTGCATTCTACTATAACGTTTCTTCTCCTTTTAAATTAGGTTTAAAGCGCTATACTAGAGCTACTATAACAGCTAAAAAGTTGGGTTAAGAATGTAGATTGCAAGTTTCTTTAATAATCTGTTTATTATCACTTCAATTTTTGTGTTTGTTGAAAAGTATATAACATCTAAAGGGAAGCGTTTCCGACCAAGGCATATATTTTAGTTTTTCTGTGGACGTGGTCGGTGCAGGCTGCTATGATTTTAGTTTTTATTTTAATTTATAATATATATGTTTTTTTTGTATTGCCGGAACTTTTTTTACTAATGTTAACTTATGATGTCAATAAATGATTGGTATTAGTATTTTAGAAAAAGTTTACAAGAGCAAAAATGTAAGCCGCAGCCTATTTAAAAATTCATTCTCAATATTCTTTCTATCCTTTTCTGTTCATTTCTGTTCTTGTCTGTATTAATTTTTCTCAAAAAATACTTATTTTTTTGTGATAACCATTTATTTTTCGTCGCCTTGAAAGTATCCTCCTCAGATATAATACGAGCTTCAATAGGAGCTAGAAGCTGTCCTGAAACCAGTAGATCAACGAATAAAATGTAATATAGAAAAAGCTTTTCTGAGGTTTCCTTTAAATCAAACTAAAAAAATCAAGTCGTTTTGATGCTATTTCCCCAAAGGAAACAAAGTATATTCAGATCGCAAACAACTTGAAAGCATTGTATTAAATAAAAAGGCGAAGTTAATGTTGTACAGATAAAATGCATAATTTTTATATTATAAAATGGATAAGGAAATAAAAATAGATATAACAAAGATTATCGATGATTAGTCGGACGTCCGGATTATTGAGTCGCGATCACTTTATGACAAAGATATGTTGAACAAGTTTTTATTACTTACAAGCTTTCAAAATGCGTAGATATGGGGTGCATTCGCCAGGAAGAAACTATGTCGCTTGTATGTCTTGTACTACTACTACACACTTCTTTCCCCAATAAAAGAAGAATTCTTCATAAATAATCACATCGTTTAAGATTTAAAAAGAACTGCGCAAAGCACAGCATAGGTCTTTTCCAGACATCCTTTTTAATTAACTTTCATAATTATGATTTTTTTAATGTAGCAGCAGAGCGCAAGGTTTCTTGGGCCCGGCGCAAGGGAGAAAAGTCCAACACCACCTGTAGCACATCAAGGGCGCACTCAAAGTGTCAGTGCTGCAGGTGCAAAAAACAAGCACCCACTATTCCGCGTATGCTCTTCAGCATCGTGTCCAGAAATTTGTGATCATAGTACAAAGTCGTTTGGCAGTAGTGTTTTCGGCATCGAGTCATTTCAAAGGTATACAAAATAATTGACTCTATAATACCCCCTATATAATATGTGTAATGATCTAGCTATGAAGCTGCCGATCGCTCTATTTTTGAGGACTCCACTGCCAAATTCTCAATCAGCCGTAGTCGCACAGATTGCACAGAAGTAAGCGACGAGACGACTTCAGCGATATCTTTTAAAACGGAACCCTTTGGACCGGCCAGCAGTCCCGAATCCACAAGTGATATCAAAGTACCGCGAAGTCACGACGACTGCTCGGGATGTGGACAGAAAATTCAGGTAAGTCTTTCCCCAAAAAACATAGATAATACTAAAAAACAATTTATTTTTGTACGTTAGTATAGTTATATGTAATGTATTCATTGATAAGAGTATAAGTATAATGTATTTATTGATAAAAATGTAGAAATGAGAAGGGATCGATTCCGACTTTTATATTATTATTATTATTTTTTTCGCCTATCTATGAGCGACAGAAAGTTTCGGTTAAGCAAGTGGTTGTTTCATCCACTATAAATCGGCTTTAATTTCTTCTGGCAGTAAGTGGCAAATTAAAAAAGTCTTAACACAGTAACGGATCTCTCATATTCGCATTATTTTGGTTTGATTATATATATATTTTTTGTTAATATCTATCGGTGAACCAAATATTTTTAAAATCCGGAATATTTTTTAATAAATCGGTTTTAAATGCTTCTGGCAATAAGCGGAATATTTAAAAAAAAATTCTTAACACAGTAACGGGTCGCTCATATTCGCAAAACTCGACTATGGCGTGATATGTGATATTAGGATAATGTTTAAGAATGAGAACTTTTCGCTTACAATGGCGACCATAAATCGGTTCCCTATCAGCCGATTCTTTTTTGACTGGTAAAAAAAAATAAGATAGGAAAATCCATTTTTTTTTATAAATGAAATATAAGCATTAGAAATATAATAAATAAAGTGTGTTATTATAAATAGGCGGTACCTTCAATATACGAGTGTATATATTAAAATAAAAAGTTTGTTGGCAGATATTGATGACGTTGCACAACTATACCAGCTATACTTATTCCCATAGAAACTTATTTATAAACTAACGATGACACAAAAAAAATATTCAGATTTCGAAAATGTTTGGTAAACGAAAGTTATAGACAGGACAACATAACCCTTAATATAATTCTTGGTGGGTGTGGCCGGACAATAAAACCACCCAGAGATCCGGTGGCATTTCTGAAATATGTTAGCTTTATCCTATCATTCTAGCTCTTTTAGTTTTTGAGATTTAAGAGTTCGTAAGAATGTGCAGTGTTTCGTAAATTAAACTAAGCTGCCTAGGCATCTCTAGGATTCTACATGCTTAGTCCCAACTTTCCATTACTTATATTTACTGATATCTCAGCGTTCTTGGAAAATGCGGCTACCGTTTTTCTCTGTTGTCAGACTTAAGAGTGGACGTGGACAATACGAAAATGGTATCGTAAGCTGACTTTTAAAGATTATATATATGTATATGTAATCCCAAATTTGTAGTTCTAATAGTTTTTGAGATCTCAGCGATTTTAGTTTTTCGTGATTTGTGGGCCTTAGAGTAGGCGTGGCGAATGTTGAAATAAACAAGAACTGCGTAAGCATCTCAAGAGTCTGCATGACAGACGGGCGGACAGACGGATATAGCCAAATATACTTGACTGTTGATCTGATCAAAAATGTATACTTTGAACTATAAAATGTATAGTATCAGAACCTTCAAAATTTCATGTTTATCGATAATTATTTACAAAAATTTACTGCATCAAACGTGGGATGGGTAGGAGATCCTAGAATTACATGCTTAATTCAAGCATGGGATGGGCAGAAATTCCTAGATCTTGCATGCTTAATTCAAACAATTAATTATCGAATTGTTGCCCTTTTTCGGTATTCGCAATATAATTTTTTTCTATTAGTCTATATTTTTTTACTTATGCAAAATAATTATAATTCTATTATTGCGTATATTTCCGCATTTGAATATCCGATACTCGAAACGTATAATAACGTATAATGTATTTGACGAAAATATGTCAACCTTAATGTTATGGCGACGTTTTGATTTCTTTATACTCATGTTTCTCAATACCTATTTATTTAATAAACATTTCTTGAGTCAAGAAATATTTCATAATTTATTCAGAATATGATGTTATGATGCTTAAAAGGGCAGTGGCATCACCGTCAGTTCATAAGCATTTTTTAAATAGAAACCGAGTATTGAAAACGGATTCATTTTCCAGTGTCATAACAATATTTTATATTAGCATAACGGTATCAGACAGTCTCGGCAGTACACTATAGCGTTTCTTTTTGTTCGGTAAAAAAAACTGTTATAAATTGATATAAACACTCTCCAAGCCCTAAAAATATACAATTTTTACTACAAAAATAATATGACGTGTATATTATAAAATATTTTCTGTGTTCACTTAGGACCGATTCTACCTCTCCGCAGTGGAAAAACATTGGCACGCCAGCTGCTTACAATGCTACGCCTGTCGGCAGCCGCTGGAACGGGAATCCACATGCTACTCACGTGACGGCAACATTTATTGCAAAAATGATTATTATAGGTAAGTCACTCCAGAGAGTCTGGGAAGAGAATCAAGGGAGGAGTGGGCGTAATGAATCAGATAAAGCCGGGAGTGGAAAATGATTTCCAAGCATGCGAAAGCAGTTTTTGCGCATGCTTTAAGATATTAAGCCCGCCATTGTTATACATACATCTCTAAGTGAAGGTTGCAAGCGCGATTGTGAATTTGCAAGTGGAAGTAGACCGCAACGAAGATATTACCGGTCCAACGTATGACCGTCGTCCGCCCAACCGGCGGCTAGGTGGCCTCGCGTGTGTTCTGCTGCTTGCGTTCCATCGCCAACCGAAGAACTCCCGTTTACCTGCTTACGCCTCCATATTGCACGATGTTTTATTAGGGGCGATGACTAACACTTCTGGTTCTACTTGCATTGACAATTGAGATGCGTTTCCCTTCGAATTTTTAGCACAGCAATTGCTGGAGAAAGGCATACAAATTTATCCGATGAAATAACACAAGCTTTTAGAATAAGCGGCGCAAAACCTTACAGACAAATTTCAGCACTGATCAAAATTCTGCATTTGACATTAATTCTACACCATATTGAATGGTGTTATGCTTCTCATTGTTAACGGTCTCAAAAACATTTCGACACAAGGAACTTTCGTTACTGGTATTACATACCACCAGTCTATTTTTTAAATGTCCCGCTGTTGGGTTAGCTAAGCAGTCGATTGGATTTTAGGTCACATTATCTGCTCGGTTGTAATATCTGATCTAAAGATTTCAGAATCTCGACCTCTGCACTTTGCTGACAATCGCTCAGATTGTCTTGGTCTGATCATGCTGTACGTAATCTATTTCGGAGTTATGTTTCAATTCGGCCGGTGATCTTTGATGGAGTCGGGCATTGTTAATCAGATAACAATCCCCACAGTTGTCAAATATTAATACTACATCCAAACGCAATCAAAAAAGGCCGTGTTCACTTCCAAATATATCTAATGGGCGCAGAAGAAATCTATCCAATAAAGTAACCCTTTGGTGTTTTCAAGAGGTAGGCATTTTTTAAGTGAAAATGTGTGTGTTTTTCTTTAATTTAACACAAAAACTAATATGAACAGTTATATATTTAACAAGTATATTATAGAAAAGATTATGTGTTCTATTCATTACAAGAGAAAACTATAATATTTGATTTTTTATTTTTCCAACTTAAAACTCAAATAAAATGGTTAAAACTTATTTAAAAAAAAACAAGAAGACACGCTATAGTCGAGTGCCGCGACTATAAAATACCCGTTACTGTTTTAAACATTTTTAAAATATTCATTTTCCTAGTGGAAATGGACAAAGCGCCACCTTTTGTCAAAAAAGCATGTTTACTAACTGATGATGTCGTCACTGTCCAAGTGAGGACTTATAACCTATATTTCTTCATAAATAGCGAAATTGATATTGAAAAAAAAAGGTTACAAGGTAATACGAAGACATCCATTATAAGGTTATGGACGCCACAGCTTTCCGCGGTTTGTGGGCGTGTCGAGTTGCAGTGGCATCTCTTAAATACGTATTCTTAAGCAAAACTTCTTAGCTTTTAATGTCCCCAAGATTTTTGTATTTTTGCCAGGTTTTGTGGTCGTTAGGGTGGAGGTGGCTAGATGGGAAAAAATAATTCGCATTTGGGGCAGCATAAGAATCTACATGCTGAATCCGAACTTTCTATAACTTCTAGTTACCGAGATATCAGCTTTTCTACAAAAAGCTAGCTTGGTGGGCGTAAGAGTGGGAGTGGCCGGATAATGGAACAACCATAAGATCCGCTGGCATATCAAGATTATACATACTTAATTTCATACACGTACTTACTTTTTAGCTTTAATAGTTCCTGAGATTTCAGCGATTTTAGTTTTTCGTGATTTGTGGGCGTAAGGGTGGGCGTGGATAGATGGGAAAAAAAAATTCGCATTGGGGTTATCATAAAAACCTACATGATTAATACGAACTTTCTTTTTACGGAAACAGTCTTTCGTTTTTAGTGGGTGTGGCCGGATAAAATACGCTGACATCTCAAGATTATACATACTGAATTTAAACTTTCTAGCTCTAATAGTTCCCTAGTTTCAGGGATTTTATTTTTTCGTGATTCGTGGGCGTTAGAGTGGGCATGGCAGGATGCTGAAATAAACTTGCGGTGCGAAGGGACCTTAAGCAGACCTCTATCTGCTTAATCTCAACTCTGTATCTCTTAAGGTTCCTGGTATCTCAGCGTTCACACGGACGGACCGACAGACGGACATGGCTTAATCGCTATTGATAGAGATCATGAATATATATATATGTTATGCAATAAAATACTCGAAAACAAAGAAGAATGAGAATATTATAAAAAATTCAGTAAATAAATTTAGTGTAAGATCCCCGTAAGATCAACGTACAATTTAAAGTCAGCAAAAACTAAAACAAATGCACGATTTAATTTCACGTTGGCTTTTTATGTTCTAGTCACCGCCTTATTGACTCAAGACTTATGTTCCAGTTTAAGCATGGAAATTTAGTGCCATCAGCTAAGAATAAATTAGATTTTATGATGTGACCGCAAGAACTATGGTCCCAGGGCATACACTCTCACGGCCGAAAAATACTAAGAAAAGAGTTTAATTTATATTTTATGGGTACTTGTTGGCACATCTCTACAAATAAAAAAACACAAATCCAGAAAGCAGAAATGGTCAGTTGGCCAACCTTTAGACACAAAAAATATATAATATATAAAATCCGGGAAAAATTAAATTCCAAGCTAAATAAGTTCTTAAAAAAGAATGATCAACTTTCACACATTATAAAACTTAAAAGATATTATTATATTTATAACCGATGGATGGTATATACATGTTTAGTATTCTCGTGCTTGCTTTAAAGAAGACCACTGTAAGTCTTCTGAGCCCCCCTCAGAATTTCTTCACTGGTCACCGGTCTGACTACTTTTGCTTTTTGTTGCCACCTGGACTTTCCGTGACTTTGTGGCTGTATAATAATTAAAATGTGTAATGCCCAACTTAAGAAATAATTGGTCTGCGAGATCCAGCTCCGAAATGACGAAGGATGGGTAGAAGATAAATTCTATCAGGCACAAACTAAGAATGAAGTGCAAGTAGTATATCCTCCTTATTTTTAATTTTTCTTGGTTTGCTTTTGTAGAAAACGAGTGCTAATATGTAGACTTTTTCAAATGTCCAAGTTCAAAGCCAAATGGCAATTCAAAAAAAAATTTACAATACATTAAACATGTAAAAAATTGTTAAGAACTTGCAGTTGTAGTCCTAGCTAAAAGAAACATATTAAACTAAAAATGAAGGGGGAAATAATATTTTCTACTAAAACAAACACTCCATATTTTTACGAATGTCATTGTAAGACCATAAGAAAGATCACATTAATCAAGTGCATGTAGCATTTCTGCATCTCTAAGAACAGAAATAATATATTGATCTGATAGTAGGGATTGGCAAATCAAAGACACTTCATATAGTTTCCGAGTTCTTACGAGCAGCGCGTATGTTCTCAGACAAACCGAAAGTCGGTTAGGCATCCTGATCAAGAATATATAAATATACTTTACCCTAAAAGTAACGGGTGTCTTTCTAATATTTATAGTATATGTTGATGCCTGTTGGTGACGGCTTAGAATCGAATTATCTCCATGGGACATCATTATAGCTGTAGTTGGAAGGGAGGATTATGACTATGTGAAGGAAGCGCTCTCACGGTCAATGACAGCGGCTTGCTGCTGTCGGTGGCTGCGTAGCGTCTGAGAAATCCGCCTTTCTTTGTCCTGGTGAACTTAGAAATGTGTAATAGGAAGAGCACATGCCAGCGGGTGGCTCTCGAAACATAATCGTCCAATCCCTCAATGTGTTACAAATACTCTCACGTTACAACATGCCGCTTTGTCTCCCTTGCCGCTGTTTCTACATGAACCTGGTACTATAGCATCGTGCAGCTAGGCCGCACATCAGTTTATACGGTCGTCTGCATAGAGGCGCTGACTTGCCTCACATAAAGAGCTCAGCCAGCCATATTCGATGTCACGGATATCCAACCATTGATTAAAACAACCATTTCAGTTCAGACTCAATTTGGTGCAAGTGATTTTAAGGTTTAAATTAAGAACAAAATTACTGTTATTATTAAAAGAAGAATTAGCATAATGTCCAATTGTATATCTGTCCGTATGTTCACGAAGACTTCAGGAACCAAAGAAGGAAAAATGTATAGATGTAAATGTAGTCGGATAGGGTTTTACACAATTTTAAAATATTCATTTGGAAAATATTCATTTGGAAATTTACAAAGCGCCACATATTGTCAGAGAAAGCATGTTAAGTAACTGATAGTAACGTCACTATCCACATTTCTTCATAAATAGCGAAAAAATGTTCCGATTTGAAAAATCTTTGGTAAGTCGATTGATATAGACAAAAATATGTTATAAAAAGTCAAACGAAGACATTCACTATCTTATTATGGACGCCACAGACTTACGCGATTTTTGGGCTTTAGAGTAGGCGTGGCCGGATGAAAACTTGTGTGGATTTGCAGTGGTATCTATAAAATTCTTATTCTTAAGCACAACTTTCTTGCTGACTTGCTGACTTTTGTGTGCGTGCCTAGATAGGAAAAAAACAATTCGCATTTGGGGCATCGTCAAAAAATACATGCTTAATCCGAGCTTTCTATAACTTATAGTTACCGAGATGTCAGCTTTTCTACAAAATGCAAATACCGTCTTTCGAGCTTGGTGGGCGTACCAGTGGGTGTGGCTGGATAATGGTACCTACCAAATGGTACATATACATACTTAGTCCCAACTTTTTAACTTTAATAGTTCCTGAGATTTTAAAGATTTTAGTTATCCATGATTTGTTGGCGTTAGAGTGGGGCAACCTTGCGCTACGTAGGGAAAAAATCTGTCTATCTCAACTCTGTGTCTCTTATAATTCCTGAGATCTCAGCGTTCATACGGGTCAGTCAGACAGACAGACGGACGGACGGACAGATGGACATGGCTTAATCGACTTCGCTATTGATACTATCTATTTATACTATACTACTATTGAAACGCTTCCTTCTACGAGTTACATACTTTTCAACGAATCTAATATACCCTTTTACTCTACGAGTAACGGGCATAGATAGTCTCAAATTAAATGCAGTTTTTGCCTTTCAAAATAAATACATATTGCAAGGACACTTGTACTCCATTTCTTAATATGTTATTTTAAATGAAAGTTACCAGTGAAAGGTATTTCTTGTAATTATATGATTTTTTTAAAAAAAAATAAGATTAAATAAATAAATTCAGGTTCAAATAATTGATATTTCAGTTACAGCTTTTTTTTTTGCTTGGTTTGTCAAGTTTGGTGTGAGGGGCCTCTTCATTATCTAGGGATCCACTAGAAGTGGGACTTCGAGAAGCAATAAGGATAAGAGCGTTCAAAACGTGTGTAAAAGTATCAGATTTCAAGAGCCCGAAAACAATCATATATCAGGCGTTGTCACCGTGACATTTCGGCTGCCCTTTTGCATGGCAATAATCATAATTCATTTTTCTTTCCTTCTCTTCCTCGCTGTACAGAGAAAGGGCGTGTCAGAGCAGTGCAAGTGGTTCGCATTGAAGTAAACTTCGCAGAAAATGCGGCTTGAGACAGTTTTATGAGAGGGTAGCTCCGGACGCGTCGCCATCCTCCGTATAAATGCTTAATATTATTTATGGGACTAACGGATCGTAACACAACAAGGTACATAGCCTTGCAGTCGTTTGAGAACATATCTGGTGGGGATTTTTGAGATGGAATCTGAGTGAAAGATCGGCAGAGACCCGCAGCCGCGCCACCTCAAGGTTTTACAATATGTGTGAAATCGGGATGTGACAAAAAATTTAATGTCACATTTCAAATGATTTTCAACAAAATGAAAACCGAAATCCAAAATCGAAACTGAATAGGGAACACAAAATGGGAACCAAAATAAGAAGAAATTAAAATGCCTTTTGCAAGAATAAATTAGTATTAAATTAAATTTGGTTTATTTTCTATTTCCTTCTATTATTATTCTATATATATGTATATAATGTACTATATACATGAATGTACATACATGAATGAGAAAAGTCTGTTACATAAGTGTATTTTGAATAATGCCAAAGGAATCGCATGTCTTGCGCATTTTATGTTGGCCTAACTCCTACAGCTGCTTGGCCAAAAAATCATTTTCCGGGAATTCACCCATATAAATATGTACTAGAGCTTGAGGTAACCATTTCCTGGGGTTTCCCATCCTTAAAATGTTTAAGGACTAATTCGCTTTGCTCAACAAACTATTGACTATTATTCGTGGCACCATAGTTTGAAAATCCTCGTTAATCCGTAATTTTTGGGTGCCCCCAGCCTCGAAAACTTATAAATATGCTTTTGTTAATATATTTTTACTAGTATTAAGAAAAAAAATGGATTAAAAAGTCCTAGTTTAGAGTTATTAACCGTTAAAGTGCTTGCACGAAATAAGCTTGTGCGTCGGAGTTGCCCTATTTTTTAGTTTTTGTATGAAAAATTATTTTGTTTTTTAAATTAGTAAAAACTTTTGTTATTATTTTAATAATATGCGACATTCTTAACATTACTGCGTTTAAATTTTTTTGATATCTCTGCTGGTTTAGTAGCAGTATCAAATTAAAAATTCGATTTTTTCTTGCACGAAATAAGCTTGGATACACTGTATGTTTTTTTAACTTCATCTGTAAACGGCAAATGTGAAAACATATGTACATATATGTATGTATACACTTAACCAATAAAGTATTCGTCGCGAGGGTGACTGAGAGAAAATTGCTGTTTTTAAATGGTTTTCAATTTAAAAATGGGTAAAATCGGTATACATCTTGAAAGATGCCTATTTTGTCTATTAATATATTATATAATATTATGCTCTCTAAAGAAAGTTATAGACAGAAACGTAAAACTAACTCAATTTTTCTGCTCAAAAAAGTTTTCGTTGCACCACAGTTTTTTTTTAGATTTTTTTTGCTCTGTTGAGTTGTTGTTATCAGAATTTGGTTTGTTTACTATTAGAGACTTAATTTTGGGAATCCCAAAAACTTGTGCGGTCATTCTTGTATCTGGTACAAAATGCCAAAAGAAAACAGAATTAAACGAATCGCAAGGGAAAATTAATTAATACACGGAAAAACTCGGGAAAAACTGTTAAATTCTGTTAATAGTGAAATTTTCGAGAGAAGTCCTTAAACTATAAAAAATATAATATATAGAGTAAAATAAAAAGAAAATAGAAATTCATCGAAAAATCTTCTTCAGTTTTGCCGTCCAAAATCGTTTAACCATAAGAGAAGACAGGAAAATTTTTAAATAAAATGGGGAAACCCCCCACTTACCGACTTTAAAAATTAACACGGTCATCTCCAAATCTTTGGAAACCAGTGTTTCCTCAAAAACCGTCCGCACAGGCATCAAACATCATAGTTTACACATTAGAAGTACAAGAAAGGTACTATTGATTTCAACCGTAACATATCAAGGCGGCTTTCTTTTGCTAATACCTACTAGGACCGGAATTTCGATTACTGGGAACAATTAATATTTAGTGACGAATGGAAATTGAACATTTTCGAGTCCGTTGGAAGCGGAAAAGTGCAGCGTAAGCCCTTTGAAGAACTGAATATAAATAATATAAATCCAGCATTTAGACATGGCGGCGGTACCGTCGTAGTTTGGGGTTGTAGTCAGGTGGAGGAGTGCGAAATTTGGGTTATTACAATGATAAATGAATGCTGATACATACACATTTGAATATACTGAAGAAAACTCTAAACTCCAGTGCTGCTAAATTGGACCTAGAAAGCGACAATTTCGTTTTTTACCAAGACAATGGCCCAAAACATACGACTTGGAGAGCCAAAATGTAGCTGTTTTCCAAATCAAAACTAATCCAAACGCACCCGCAAAGCCTAGACGACAACCCCATCGAAAATTTATGGGTCCCACCCTAAGCTCAAATTCCGGGATGATGCGATTTCGTGGAAAAATAATCTCAAAAAGCTATTACTTGAGGATTGGTCGAATAATTCCGAAGGAATGTACTGAAATTTATTGGAACTGAAAAAAACGACTTAAATTAACCTCTTTTTACTCCTTTATTAAGAAAAAAGGGGAATTAGTCATGAAGTACATACCTCGCAATGAGTACTTTACTGACATACTGTACATATATATATATATATATATATATATATATTTATATATATATATATATATATCACAACCGAAACGAATGTACAGACCGCCGTCTTCAAGCGATGTCTATTAAATGGTGATGAGTAGGTGCTTGTGCTCTTCGATGTTTCTTGTACGGATCTGATTTATTGATCAAAACCAATTGAGGCGGCTGACAGTCACTAAAATTTTTAATGACTTTGGTTCCGGCCTTTTACTATAAAATTCTCTGTTTATGCAATAATCTTCTGTTAGCTTAACATTAAAAACAATATTATTATCATTTTATTATCACACAGTTTTTTCGGTATTCGACGTTGCACCCGTTGTCTGGCCTCGATTAGTTCCAACGAGCTCGTGATGCGCTCTCGGAATCTTGTCTTTCACGTAAACTGCTTTTGTTGCACCGTCTGCCACACGCCACTGAAACAGGGAGATCAGTACGGTATTATCGACTCGCTCATTTACTGCAGGTAAGCCCCATCTAACCCGTAAAGGATTTGCCAATACTTAAAAGCATCTCCAGGACGCACTACAGCAAAGCAAGGGAGGTAGACGGCGCCTCTTCTACCATGGGCGCCACTTACCCATACAGCGCCCAGTTTGGTTCGCCACAAAACGACTCCTCGAGCCCCCACTCAGACCCTAGTCGGAGCATTGTTCCTACGGGCATATTTGTGCCCACGTCTCACACCATTACCGGACTGCCGCAGACGGCCCGCCAAAAAGGACGGCCGCGCAAGCGCAAGGTCAAGGACATAGAGGCGTTCACTGCAAACATAGGTATGTTGAAATATTTCAGCTTTTTGCGATTAGTTTGCCAGCATTAAAACTGCCAACATGTCAAGCTCTTTATAGCTACATAGGTAAAAGCTGGCGCCATTTGAGCAGTAAGAGAAAAACTTTTATGTATGTGACTATCTCTTGAAATCACCGTAGAAACCGTTAAAACTACAATGCACTTTGGGTCGATTGCAGATCTAAACACTGAGTACGTCGATTTCGGTCGGGGATCCCACTTAAGCTCATCGTCGCGAACCAAAAGAATGCGCACCTCTTTTAAGCATCACCAACTACGTACCATGAAGTCTTACTTCGCCATCAATCACAACCCTGACGCCAAGGACCTAAAGCAGTTGTCGCAGAAAACGGGTTTACCAAAGAGAGTTCTACAGGTGAGAATTGGCCGCTATTTTGATAAAACATTTGAGGGCAACCCCACCTTACCTTTTCTCTAGGTTTGGTTTCAAAATGCTAGGGCCAAATGGCGCCGGATGATGCTGAAGCAGGATGGCAGCGGAATTATGGAAAAGGGGGATGGCGCCTTGGACCTAGACAGTATCTCCGTACACAGTCCTACGTCGTTTTTATTACCCGGCCCAAACAGCTCGCCACCACTTAACCTTGACTAACGGATGCTTAGAAAACTCAAAAACAGAGTAGCAAACGAAAATAGCCTTGCATACAACTTCCACATCATACCGTACATACATATATACGTATATACGTACATATGTATTTAAATAGCCACAACGCTTGCCTAAGTCAAAGTACGTGCATTGCATCCGCATCCGAAACGAAATCCGGCTCCGGGATCTTCTGAGCATCTCAAGTCGATGGTTACAAATAAAATTGGAGGGCTGTTGATGTATGTATAAATTACATATATATTTTTATAGTTGCTTCTTGGCCATTGCCAGTCGGCTGGTTATTGCCTCCCATATAATTTTTTTCAAGATCTTCGGTTCTTTTGTAAATATGAACTTCAATCTTGTAGCATATATGTATAGATATGTGGTCACGCGAATATTGTTAATATATCGGTATTATTTTCAGAGCTCACATTATTAAATATGTATGTATGTACATGTAGTGGGTATATATATATGTATGTATAAATTTATAAGCATCAACTTACATCTTTACATACATAGATAAATATGCTAAATATTTATTTCACAACATAATAGTTAGAGATGAATTAAGTTTAGAGAACCGTCTATGTAATATATATTATACGTAAATAAAATAGTTACTCCTACCCTGACAGACCGATTTTAGATCTATAAAAATAAAAGTATGATAATTTCAGCACTGAACATACAGAGAGATTTGTACTTACAAATAGATTAATAATAAGTCTAACAATAGAAGCCAAATAAAAACATTGAAACAATCAATCCATACAATTTATATTTTTTTTATTTTAAATATTTCAATTTCTCTATTTACCACAATATAACGAATCCAAAAATATAACTGATTCTGAGTAAGAAACCCATTTATTAATTCCACGACAAAATTTTACAAATTTGTATACCCGTTACTGGTAAAGGAGAATGCTTATACATATGTATGTGTTAGTTGAAAAGTATGTCACCGGTAATTTAGAGAGGAAGATTCCTCTTCACTTGCCGTAAATATTTAGCCATTTAGCCAACAATATTATACAATGCCAAACCAAAACATAAACCTTCATAGGTGATTACATTCACGGTCAAAAGGACAGACGGAAATTGTTAAATTGGCTAGACTATTGGATGGTTATCAGCAATATACACTTTATAGGTTCGGAAAAGGCCCCTTCTAGCTGCAGCGCCATTTTCAACAAATACATTTTTACCTTACGAGTAACGATTATACAAATTATTATAATTCGGATAAAATTGGTTTTTTTTTTAAAAGTAATATTTGCCCAGTGTTTTTTTTTTTTTATATTTTCAATGTGTGTTTTTGTCTATTATCTTTATGTTTAATAATGTTTAGTTTATTTTGGTTTAATATTGAGAAAACATATACGAGTATTCTAAGGCAAAAAATGATTTAAAATAAATTAAATAGTTACAACCCGTAATCGTACAGAGAAAGTTTATAATTTATTCTTTATAAGCAACATAACAGTGTAGAAGGAACTGTTACGTGAGATCCCGGGCGCTAGAATATTAAATTAAGCATACATATTGAACAGATGCCAACGCAGCTCAATGCTTTTTATGGCTCACAAGACAGGTAAAAATAAAAAAAACTGGATTCTCGGGGATTTTCCCAATAGTTAAATCAAACGCCTTTAGAACGCGAAAAGTATTTTGGTTTAACTTCTTAAAATATTCTTTGTCAATACTTATCGATTTACCAAAAAACGTTTAAGTCATAATGTGGTTTTTATTTTGGTATTAAATTTCGCTTATGAAATTTTACACGCCGTCAATATATGCTAGAAATATTATTATTTTAAAATTGGTTAACACAGTAATAGGTATTGTACCGGCTGTGCACCATTTGCTTTTAAATGGTTAATTGGCGTACAACTCGAAATATACCTATTTTGTTTACTTATATAAAAAAAAACAATCAATAAACTCTTTCTAAAGAAAGACAAAAATGTAAAACGAAATCCGAAACAAAATATATGTGTTTTTAGTATGTATTACTATTTTAGAGATTTAATTCTGGAAATCGCAAAAAATGTTGGGGCTATTCTTGTTCTACATCTGCTATAAAAGGGAACAGAATTAAACGAATCGCAAAGAAAAATAATTTTATACTCATATAACGAAGGAAAAACTGTTAAATACTTTAGTGAACTGTTCGGGAGAAGTCCTTGAACTATAAGAAGTATAATATGTAGAGTAAAACAAGAATAAACGCTATATTCGAGTGCCGCGACTATAACATACCCGTTACTGTTTTACAAAATTTTACGATATTCATTTTGCTAGGGAAATGTAAAAAGTGCCGCCTTTTGTCTAAAATGCGAGTTTACTAAATGATGGTAACGTCACTCTTATAACCTAAATTTCGAAAAATATTTGGTAAATCAATAGATAATGACAATAAATGTTACACGAGTGCAATCAAAGTCATACATTATAATAATATGGATGCCATCATTTTCTGCGGTTTGTGGGAGTCAGAGTGTGCGTGGCTGGATGAAGAATCACGCCGTGCTGCAGTTGGATTTTTAAATTACGTATTATAGTTGCCGGTATTTTTGCATTTTTGGTTTGACGTGTTTTTGTTGGCGCATTGCGCACATCCTTAATCCCAAATTTCAATCACTTATAGTAACCGAGATATCAGCTTTTCTACAAAAAGCGAAAACCGTCTTTCGAGCTTGGTGGGCGTAAGAGTGGGTGTGGCCATAAGGTGAACTTAATCCCAACTTCCTAGCTCTAATATTTCCTGAGATTTCAGAAAAACTTAAAAAAATGTGGACCTCCCAACGAAAACTTTATTGACTAACTGTATATGTTTATAAAGACTTAGTTTCATTCATTAGGTCGGAAACTGTTCAACTGGTCTTTGCGGTTAAAGGGTACGCAATAAACCATTTACCGCAAGTAGAAAAATTTAATATATTTGTAATTTTTTTTTAATGGGGAGGGGTGGTTTTAGTTCTACTATTACAGTATTCGGTAAGTTTAGTTCCGGGAAAGTAAGAGGATGGCTCCTAGGCAACCTCCTCGTTAATTCGTTTTGTTACAGTAGGTCGATCTACAGGTTGTGTAGTGGCTCTCTACACCGCCTGCATGTGACAGCACCTCGACAGGAGGTGTGGTATCAGGCCGCGTAAAAGTATCTGCTATCAAGAATTCCAGTACTTCGCTCCAAAGCCTTATTCCCAATAGCTCAAGAGGTGTATATCTACGGGATAAGATCTGCCGGATTCTGGCTTAGTTCTCTCGGAATGGTGAGGGACTTCAAGGGCCCAAGTCTTGACTTGGATTAAGAAGATTGAATGAAATTACACTCTGATATTCTGAGCGTACATAAATCGCCGTACGCGACCATGCTTGCATCACAAAACCCATGAATTTTACTGGATGACATATACTGTAAAACAATATGTGAAAACTTTAAACAAGCAACTGTTTGGATCTGTGACATGCGCTTCAACCACGACGGGGGTAAAGATTGCGCTAAGGTCTCATCCTAGTCAAATTTACCCTTACATAGGACCTGCTCGGCAATGTTCGGTGCTACTAATTTAAGGGGTTCGAAAAATAACGTTGCCATAGTAGTGAGAGCGCGCAAGTGTGAATTTGGCTTGTCACTCAACTGCCGCAAACTATTTGCGGATCGCTTCTCCACACCTAGTAGGTTGAATAATGACTGAACGTGTGCCTGAAAGAGTAATAATTTATTATTTAATCGCAAAGTTAATATTTCCAAAGCCCTGTCAAAATTATTTTCCGGGATCGAATTGTGTCCGACGCTCCGCCGCCCAAGCATAAACGAAAATACTGAAATTTGTCCACCTTTGTTAAGACCTTGTTTATTACCACAACATTATCTTCTCACTATTTAAATGGCGTCCGATTTTCCCTTTGGTTTCACAATATGGTATTGAATATTTTATACAAGCATGGAATTCTATTTGCTTGATCACTGGCAGTTCAAGGTTAAGTTAAGTTCGACTAAGTCGGAATTAATTCGCTTTATTAAATTCGCCCGTACCTGCAGCTCTCTTTTGTCGAATTTGGCCAACTGCTCCTGCCTCAAAAATAAATTTAAGCTGGCGTACCACGGAGCTTGCCTAATTAGTTTTGCACTTGAGAACAGAATTCAAGGGTATATCAGAACAAATGGCAAAGCTAATAATTGCTAAGCTTTAAAAAACGATCACGATAATATTTGAGTCACTACTCTTTTGAGGGGGCATTATTTCTTCCACCTTTTTTGCGAATTTTTTAACTAAAAATATGCGATGCTGGAACGGTGTTTACCGAAAAGAGATGTGTCTTATTTTTTATTTTTGCCGCGATACGACTGTGTTTTGAAGGCGAGACAGAGCGATTGGGCAGATGATCTATATACATACATATATATTTCAGCAAGCTTTTGTTTACATTTTTGTCGTCAGTGATGCTGACCAACTAACAATCAGTGATCTAATTTGAATGAAGGTATTTTGTATTACGATTTGAATTAATTTGTTATCTAAATTAAAAAAATATAGTTTTTTAATTAAAAATATTTACTAGGGAGGTAAAAGGTTATAATGCATTCGTAGTAGGTAAAGAGCATATTGTGAGGATTTGCTAACAGTATAACCTCGACATCTCATTAAATAGAGACAAAAAGTTGGGCTAAGAGTGTTGATTCTAGTTTGATCATTACTCTTTTTCACTTTCGAAATGGAAAAAACGGTCAACCCAATCAACTTGCAGGACACATTTTAATTTTAAGGATACTTCTAATCAAGCAGCGATTGTATTTTATTTGAACTAGATAAAATTGTGCAATATGGAAGCCGGCGCTCTATATGCGGTCATCAAAAACACCTATTATGTCAAATAATTATGAGAGTTCAGCACGGTGTGGAATACAGTAATTCGACTCATTGAAACGGAATTTCGAATCTTTTATTAAGCGAACAAGCTGTCTGCCTATTAAGCATTTTATTAGTGTATCCGTTTCATCATCGCTACAAATATAGAAAATTTTTTTGTTCGTAGTCTTCGAATCGTAAGGGTTGATATTATACTTGTCTTAACGCAGCCAAGCGTTTGAAACCTCATGGAGCGGATTTGTCGTCCATATTTGAAAAATCCTTTCGGCCTTTTTGCAGCCAGAGCAGCTTTTGGGAAATCCTACTCTCATGGAGGAACTTCTGGCCGAACTCCATACAATAATGAAATAGAACCTAGGCGTTGATTGCTCCGTTTTGAGGAAGAGCCGCATAAGAGCTGCCCTTAGCATTGTGCAGTTTCCAAACGCAATATTTAGTCTGGAGCTGCAAACAGTTTCTTGGAGTCACGCCAATGAAATGGTACAGTCTCACATAGAGACTCCGACATTTCAACCGCTTTGATAAGAGAGAGCGGCGACATCTATCGATGCCCAGCATCGACGAGGAAGGAGAACGACTACTATTCCGCATACTGCACGTGACGCCATACGGAGGTAGGATGCAGTTTAATACTGGCTGAAGGTTTTTCGGTGACGATGATTAACAATGAACTGCTTGAAGAGCTAAGCGTGCAAGGAGTACGACGACATCTAAATATTTAATGGTTTTAATGTAGATCTCCCATGTAAATTACT